CCGAGTTATGTGAATATAATCCAATATATGGTTGCGTTTGAACACATCTTGACAAATAAAGCCGTAAAAATTTGAACTTGTACACAATGAATTAAACCAAGCTCTGATACCACTTGTTGGGATCAATGAAGATCTCGTTATGCACAAATCACGAATTCAATAGCAAAACGTAAACCTATGCACAGCGGATCTAAAGGTTTGCGTAGAGAACTTACGGCTTAAAATTTATGGCGATCTGGCTGATCTTCTGGATGGCCGTACAAAGCACACCAATGAATTGCTGACTGCCAAATCGCATCCTAGGATTGCACGAACAAAATCGGATCGAAAACCGGATCAAACGAGTGCAAAATGGATGAAGATAAGTTGCAGTCCTGGGACCTTGCGGCGGCACGTGCAGGCGCGTGGGTGGTCGGACGGCTGCGATCTCGGTGGCGTAGGAAAGCTCTCGTCGAGACGGTCGTCTGGGTATGTTGCACGTCTTGATCGGACCTCCGGTTAGTTCTGTACGACCAAATATATTTCGTCTAACTTTACCCAAAGATCTTCTACTGTATATCTCAAACACCTCTTAATCTTGTACCAGTGGAACAAGAAGAAGAAGATAAAGCTCGAATGGGAACTGAGAGAGAGAAGAGAGGCGTGGGGCGTGATTTCCAAGATGTAGAATTCTCTTCTCTTCTCATGAGCTTAATGATATATATATAGAACTACAGTAGGGATTCTTAGGAGATTTGGATTAGGGCTCCTTAATTAAAAGACTTGTGGACCAAGCCACTTATTTTAATTAATTAAATAATATTAAATAGAACACCAACATAATATTATTGCACTCCATTTTCCTAGCCCAATTTACAATTGAGACTCCAATAATAATTACTCGATTTATCTCCCAATGTTTAAGATATAATATCCATTAATTAATTCGATTACTGACAATCAAGAATTAATTAATTTATTATTATTTCACTGAAGCTAGCGCTCGTTCATCACATTATTATTATGTCGAAATTTAATCCACCTGCAGGGTTTAACAAAATAATCCTGCATGAACTCACTCTGGGGACATCATCAAACTAAGGCACATGGTGACCGTAAATATCCTAACAGCACATCCTACATGTAGCAATATTACCCAAGACAACGGGTCTATTGGCCCAGTTCACTAAGTCTCACCCATGTGAATCAAAGTAATAAATACTACACATATATGTTTGTTTAATATCTTACGAGTTAAGAGTACGTAGTAAATAACCGACGCCTAGTTCATTTACGACGATCAGTATAAAACGAACTGCTCCTCTCTGGGATCCTGTTCAATACATAAATGTACTAGTGCAACTAATCAGTCAAGACAAACTGTACATTTGACACTACAACCGTTCGCGATGGGGTGTTCATGTCCATCTGGGTTGTGAACCACTTATTCTTGTTTCGCGAGTAACTGATAGCATGATCTTCGGTTCGCCCGATGACGACCCACACTATCTAATGCAAAACAACAGAACGTAGAACTTGTTTAATCTAACATGTTTCTCATTCATAAAGGGTAAAAGTGTAATATCATCCAAAGCCAAGCTTTCAGTATATAACACTAACACCCGGCACCACTGCAAGACCACCGCGACGCGCCGATCCTCGACACCACGTAATCTTGGCCTCCTGGTGACGTGTTGCTCTCGGTCATCCCAAATTTGTCAGATTCAGATAAATTTTAAGCCGTAAGTTTTCTACGTTAATTATTTTGATCTGTTGTGCATAGGTTTACGTTTATATTGAATTCGTGACTTGTACATAACAAAATCCTCACAGATTCCAACAAAGAGGATTAAAGGGGTTTTCTAGGGTTGTATTTCTCAATCTCAAGTTGCCTTTGTGCCAGGTAGACAGATCCTAAACAATATCATCATTGCCAATGAGTGTGTACATTATATAAATAGTAGGAAAAAAGGCAAAAAAGGTTTTATGACTCTAAGTTAGACATGAAAAAAGCCTATGATAGGATTGAATGGAGTTTTCTTTTGAGGGTTTGTAGATGCTTGGGGTTTAGTGAGTTGTTTCTTAGGTGGATTTATTAGCACAGTTTCAGTTTCCTTTAACTATAGTGGGCAAGTTTGGGGAATTGTTGTTCCTTCCAGAGGGTTTAGGTAGGGTTGTCTTCTATCCCCTCATTTGTTTATCGTTGCCTCTGAAGCTCTTTCAAATCTTATCAATCAAGCTTGCTTCAGATCTTATCAATCAAGCTTGTTCTGCTAATTCTTTCCAAGGGCTTAAAATCAGTAGACACTCTCCTTGTATTTATCACCTTTGTTTTTGCTGATGATGCTCTTATTTTCTGTCAGTAATGCTCTTGTATTGTTGCAAATTCTCAAAACCTACTGGGATGTCTCTGGGAAGGTCGTCAACCTGCACAAATCCAATATTTACTTTCCTATTAATTACTCTGAGCAGTTGAAGTCTGCCATTTTTAATCTGTTCCAGGGAGTGGTAGTGGCCAAGTACTCTAAATACCTGGAGCTTCCTTTGGGTATAGGTAGGTGAAAGAAAAGACACCTTTTCTTTCGTAAAAGAGACCTTTTCTTTCGTAGAAGAGTATGTGGTGTCTAGAGTCACAAATTGAAAGAATGCATTTCTTAGTGAAGCTGAGAGAGAAACTTTAGTGAAAAAAAGGCTTATCTACTATGCCTATTTTTGTGATGTCAGTATTTAAGTTGCCTATGGGTGTGTGCAAAGAAATGTGTCAGGTTATAGATAAGGTTTGGTGGGGTAGCATTGGGTAATGAGGGAATAGAATCCATTGGTTAAAGTGGGATAAGTTAGCTCACCCAAAGTCAGAAGGGGGTACGGGTTTTAGAATGTTTGAGGATTTCAATGAAGCCCTCATCACTAAACAGCTTTGGAGAGTGGTAACTAGGCCCAACATTTTGATGAGTAGGGTTATAAAAGAGAGATATTTTCACAATAAAAAACTGATGGAGGTGGAAAAAATGACCGTGATTCATGGTTGTGGCAGGGCTGGTTAGAGGTTAGAAAATATTTGTTTCTAAGGGCTAGATTCTTAGCATGGGATGGGCAGTCTATTGATATATGGAAGTCCCCTTGGATTCCTAATGCAGCTAACTTCAAACCAAATTGTCCTTTTTCTTACACATAAGTACATATTGGTAAAGGTAGTAGGTCTGATAATTGAGGCAGGAATAAGTGGATGCAAAGCTGGTGAGGCAAACCTTTACACCAGAATATGTTGAAAGTATTTTGAAAATTGGCATCAGCAAAGTGGGGACTAAAGACAAGTTGATATGGCATTACCACAAAACAGGAGTCTTCTCAGTCAAGAGTGCTTACATTACAATTCAGACCAAAAGGAAGGAAAGCAGAGTACAGGTGGAAAGCAGTACAGGGAAAACAAATCAAAAGAAGGTGTGGAGTACAACCTGGAAATTGTCAATCAAACCAAAGGTAAAACATTTCATCTGGAGATGTTACCATAATTATTTAGGCACTTTGAGCAACCTAGGGCAAAGAGGTGTAGTGATGGATGATATGT